CATAATCTCTCTCCCCCAAACTTTACACTTGGCACAAGCAGTCAGACAAGTAACGTTCTCCTGGCAACCGCCAAACCCAGACACGTCCATCGGATTGCCAGACAGAGAAGCGTGATTGGTCACTCCAGAGCCTTGGTTCTCAACTGGTGGGTAGTGACCCAAAAGTGGGTCACGACCCCATGTTCAGTGGGTTGCCATATGCCTTCCACTTTTCTAGGTGAGAGGCTCCTCGGCCTCCCCCTAGCGCAGCACCGTCAGTTATCACACTGAGCAGCCATTCAAAATATGCTGCCCGGCCCTGCGGGTCAGCTTGAGGTGGGGTGGGCTGGAAGTATGGCCAAAAAGGAGCTCCATCCATACATGCGTTGCTTACAGCTTCCACATGTGCCCTGTAGAGGTGCCTGGACCGGACTGACATCACACTCTGGCTCCCGGCACCTCTACAGGGCATCCAATGGAGCTGTACAAGCAATTCACATATGGACGGAGCTCCATCACACCTACACTGGACCCCAGACTGAGGATTCACTCCAGTTCTCTTAACCACTTGATGTCCGCGGTGTTAAACCCTTCCTGTCCCGGCCATTTTTCAGTGTTCATCGCTGCGGTACTTTGACTGACATTTATTCCGTCATACAACGCTGTACTGAAAATAATTTTATAACATTTTTGGGGGACAGATAGAGCTTTCTTTTGGTGATATTTAATCACCACTGGGGGCTTTTATTTTTTACTATATAATTAAAATAGGACCGCAAATTTTGAAAAAAAAACCAATTTTCGCTGCGTTATGTTATAAACACCTACTGCGCGTTCTGGTGTGGAAGGTGTTTTGCATTGCCATGAATTTGAATGACACTCCAAATGCACCTCCCGCCCACATTCCGATCGCCGACACCTGAACGCCCGGTACTACAAGGCCGTGCATTTAATTGCAGTGCGAACCTTCAGACCCCCTCCCCCCCCCCTCACCATAGAACTACTAGACATTCTGAATCCAGGAAGCTGGACATCAATTGAGAACATCATCTACTACGAGTGTCTGGAAGGAAAAGGGTTAAATCCTGCACTCCTGGCGGTCCAGCGCTGCATTTTCTCTGGTTGAAGTCATGTCTTTGCTGAGCGCAAGCCCAACGCGTCCAGCGACACATCCGCTTACATACAAATCCTCCTTTACTGCTGAAACACCCCATAAATCCGTTCCTCCTGCAACTGGCAGCTTCCTCACCCAAACGTCTCATTATTCCGTCCTGCAGCTGACCATTTATCCTGCAGGACACTTCATTTCTCAGCCGTGTGATAGAAACGAGTCAATGATTTCATCCAGTACAACAGACCATGGGACGTGTGCCCAGTGTATAGGCAGTAATAGGTTCCCTATAGGCACACCAAATCAATGATTTCATCCAGTACAACAGAGCATGGGATGTGCGCCCAGTATATAGCCAGTAATAGCCTCCTATAGGCACACAGAGTCAATGATTTCATCCACTACAACAGAACATGGGACGTGTGCCCAGTATATAGGCAGTAATAGCCTCCTATAGGCACACAGGCAATTATTTAATCCACTACAACACAACATGGGACGTGTGCCCAGTATATAGGCAGTAATAGCTTCCTATAGGCACACAGGCAATGATTTCATTCACTACAACACAACATGGGACGTGTGCCCAGTATATAGGCAGTAATAGCCTCCTATAGGCACACAGGCAATTATTTAATCCACTATAACACAACATGGGACGTGTGCCCAGTATATAGGCAGTAATGGCTTCCTATAGGCACACAGGCAATGATTTCATCCACTACAACACAACATGGGACGTGTGCCCAGTATATAGGTGGTAATAGCTTCCTATAGGCACACAGGCAATGATTTCATCCACTACAACACAACATGGGATGTGTGCCCAGTATATAGGCAGTCATAGCTTCCTATAGGCACACAGGCAATTATTTAATCCACTACAACACAACATGGGACGTGTGTACAGTGTATAGCCAGTAATAGCCTCCTATAGGCACACAGAGTCAATGGTTTCATCCACTACAACAGAACATGGGATGTGTGCCCAGTATATAGCCAGTAATAGCTTCCTATAGGCACACAGGCAATGATTTCATCCACTACAACACAACATGAGACGTGTGCCCAGTATATAGGCAGTAATAGCTTCCTATAGGCACACAGGCAATGATTTAATCCACTACAACACAAAATGGGACGTGTGCCCAGTATATAGCCAGTAATGGCTTCCTATAGGCACACAGGCAATTATTTCATCCACTATAACAGACCATGGGATGTGTGCCCAGTGTATAGGCAGTAATAGCTTCCTATAGGCACTCTGAGTCAATGATTTCATCCACTACAACAGAACATGGGACGTGTGCCCAGTATATAGACAGTAATAGCTTCCTATAGGCACACAGAGTTAATTATTTAATCCACTACAACACAACATGGGACGTGTGCCCAGTATATAGACAGTAATAGCTTCCTATAGGCACACAGAGTTAATTATTTAATCCACTACAACACAACATGGGACGTGTGCCCAGTATATAGCCAGAAATGGCTTCCTTCAGGCACACAGAGTCAATGATTTCATCCACTACAACAGAACATTGAATGTATAGGCAGTAATAGATTCCTATAGGCATGGTACGTGTGAAGATGAACTATTACTAGGTATGGATAAAGCTCAGGTTGTAGGAGAACCTTCTATTGTCACACATGTTACTGATTGATCTCTATAATACCCTATGGCCCCGGGACGCCATGCTCAGCCAATACCTGATTACAGGCTGGTTCTGATCCGGGTCTTTAGGTTCTGGTGCCGGAGCTTACTTGCAGACTTGTGTACAGTATTTATAACGAGTTTTATTGATAGTTGTCTTCCCTCCCGCAGCCTCCTGCTATCGCCCGGATTCACCGAGACGCATTACACCGCAGAGGGCGAGAGGGTGACGGTGACCCCGAACCACACGGTGAGAAATGTGTCCTCCTATGAGAAGTTACTAAGGGCCAAATGGTGATACAATGCGCAATGTAACTTATTATACGTCACCTAGAAGGGATCCTGTAATATGATCAGAGCATCTCCAGAGCCGTGCAACCCACTCCCCCCCCCCATTATGAATTACTACTTCAATCGCCATTCGCCTCCCCACCTGACCACCCTGATAAACTCACACTTTGGGGTACACAGGATGATGCCCCCCAGCTTCCTACAACAAAGAGATTGGGGGATAGACACAATGCAGGGATTGGGGGATAGATACAATGCAGGGATTGGCGGATAGATACAATGCAGGGATTGGCGGATAGATACAATGCAGGGATTGGCAGATTGATACAATGCAGGGATTGGGGGATAGACACAATGCAGGGATTGGCGGATAGATACAATGCAGGGATTGGCGGATAGATACAATGCAGGGATTGGCGGATAGACACAATGCAGGGATTGGCAGATTGATACAATGCAGGGATTGGGGGATAGACACAATGCAGGGATTGGGGGATAGATACAATGCAGGGATTGGGGGATAGACACAATGCAGGGATTGGCGGATAGATACAATGCAGGGATTGGGGGATAGACATGTGCGATTCGTTTGTTCCAAATCAAAATTCGGACGAACTTTCCTAAATTCAGACATTTGAACACATCCGGAATTCCAAATCCCAATGCATCTGAATGTCCCAATCCGAATTTCCGTTTTTTAATTTTGGATCCGGTCCGAATTTCATTCTAAGACAACACTGAATGGGACATGTGACTTTTCTGGTCCATCAGATGTGTTTTTTCGGTTTAATGCATCCGAATAGGTAACACGAATTTTCGTTACGGCAACATGGGTGCCATATATATGGCTGTATATACTGTATATGGCTCCCATGTTGCCGTAACGAAAATTCGTGTTACCTATTTGGATGCATTAAACCGAAAAAACACATCTGATGGACCAGAAAAGTCACAAATACGATTCGGTTTTCATGTATATATAGATTACTGAAGCTGAAGCTCCCAGACCCGAAATAGCATTTGGGATCCGCATTTTCGCATTGCATTTAGGAGCTGCACAATGCCATTCGGGTCTGGGAGCCCTATACATATATTACTAAAGCCGAGGCTCCCAGACAGGGGCGTCCTGAGGTCGGGTGTCACCCCGCTGTGTTGTCATTGCGTGTGACGAAGTCATCGCAAATACGCCGCCATACAATTGACGCCTGCCAGCGGCCATATTAGTGATGGACGCCGGCAGAGAGAGGTGGGGACATTCACCCGGCGGGATGAGGTATGCCGCCGGGACCCCTCCTCCATTTTTGCCAAATTCCAAATAAGTTGGTTTATGAGGGTGCGATGAGCTTTAAATGACTTCTTTGAACTACCCCGGGCCTGTTCTGGTGCCAGAACTGCCCCCCCCCCCCCACACACACCACACCAACCACCCCTCATTGCCCC